GGTGGTCCCTCAGGGGAGGTTGGTGGTCCCTCAGGGGAGGTTGGTGGTCCCTCAGGGGAGGCTGGTGGTCCCTCAGGGGAGGTTGGTGGTCCCTCAGGGGAGGTTGGTGGTTCCTCAGGGGAGGCTGGTGGTCCCTCAGGGGAGGCTGGTGGCCCCTCAGGGGACGCTGGTAGTCCCTCAGGGGAGGTTGGTGGTCCCTCAGGGGAGGTTGGTGGTCCCTCAGGGGAGGTTGGTGGTCCCTCAGGGGAGGTTGGTGGTCCCTCAGGGGAGGTTGGTGGTCCCTCAGGGGAGGTTGGTGGTCCCTCAGGGGAGGCTGGTGGTCCCTCAGGGGAGGTTGGTGGTCCCTCAGGGGAGGTTGGTGGTCCCTCAGGGGAGGCTGGTGGTCCCTCAGGGGAGGTTGGTGGTCCCTCAGGGGAGGTTGGTGGTCCCTCAGGGGAGGTTGGTGGTCCCTCAGGGGAGGTTGGTGGTCCCTCAGGGGAGGTTGGTGGTCCCTCAGGGGAGGTTGGTGGTCCCTCAGGGGAGGTTGGTGGACAGTCAGGGGAGACTGGTGGACAGTCAGGGGAGACTGGTAGACAGTCAGGGGAGGCTGGTGGACAGTCAGGGGAGACTGGTGGACAGTCAGGGGAGACTGGTAGACAGTCAGGGGAGGCTGGTGGACAGTCAGGGGAGGCTGGTGGACAGTCAGGGGAGACTGGTGGACAGTCAGGGGAGACTGGTAGACAGTCAGGGGAGACTGGTAGACAATCAGGGGAGGCTGGTGGACAGTCAGGGGAGGCTGGTGGACAGTCAGGGGAGACTGGTGGACAGTCAGGGGAGGCTGGTGGACAGTCAGGGGAGACTGGTGGACAGTCAGGGGAGACTGGTGGACAGTCAGGGGAGACTGGTGGACAGTCAGGGGAGACTGGTGGACAGTCAGGGGAGACTGGTGGACAGTCAGGGGAGACTGGTGGACAGTCAGGGGAGACTGGTGGACAGTCAGGGGAGACTGGTGGACAGTCAGGGGAGACTGGTGGACAGTCAGGGGAGACTGGTGGACAGTCAGGGGAGACTGGTGGACAGTCAGGGGAGACTGGTGGACAGTCAGGGGAGACTGGTGGACAGTCAGGGGAGACTGGTGGACAGTCAGGGGAGACTGGTGGACAGTCAGGGGAGACTGGTGGACAGTCAGGGGAGACTGGTGGACAGTCAGGGGAGACTGGTGGACAGTCAGGGGAGACTGGTGGACAGTTAGGGGAGACTGGTGGACAGTCAGGGGAGACTGGTGGACAGTCAGGGGAGACTGGTGGACAGTCAGGGGAGACTGGTGGACAGTCAGGGGAGACTGGTGGACAGTTAGGGGAGACTGGTGGACAGTTAGGGGAGACTGGTGGACAGTTAGGGGAGACTGGTGGACAGTCAGGGGAGACTGGTGGACAGTCAGGGGAGACTGGTGGACAGTCAGGGGAGACTGGTGGACAGTCAGGGGAGACTGGTAGACAGTCAGGGGAGACTGGTGGACAGTCAGGGGGGGGAGAGAAGCCGAGTAATTCCAGAGGAGAGAAAGGGAACAAATTAATTGAAGCTAAAGAGGGAAGAGAGCAGGAGCTTGGGGGGCCGGCGCGGCGTCTGGGAAAGGAGGGAAGGATGGAGGGGCGGAGGGGAAGGGGAAGGAAGGGAGGGGCCACAGTCAAGAGAGAGGGGAGCTTGCTGACTGAAAAGAAGGGAAAGGACGAGTTGATTGCGAGACGGTGTGATGGAAGGGAGGAGAGAGTCATGGGAAGGGGAGCACTGTTGAGACGCAGGGAAGGGGAAAATGTTCGCTGACTAAAATATGAGGAGGCCGCCACAAGTGAATGTGTGGTAGGCCTACTGGAGAGTTGAGGAGGAGGGGCAGGAGGAGAGAGGCCCAGGCAAGGAGAGCATACACACTCATGCCTGTATAATATGAAGGCTTTAGCTTGTGAGGGGGAACCATGTTTGGGAGAGTGAAGCGACGATAAAGGAGATGAGGTAAAGGTCAATTGCAAGATGAGTGTTGCAACCGGGGGTTGATGGTGCCACGGCAGCCTCGGTGAGGAGGAGAGGAAGCAGACAATGAACACCACCACAACGGAAGTTCTCACCAATTGACATTAGAAACAAACTTTCGACACACTAACATTCTTCGTAGTAACCTGGTCCACACTGCTCCTCCTGCTGCTAGTGCTGCTGGTGGCTACTCCAAAGTTGTCTTGTCCTCTCCGGTCGTACACTGTATGACAGACTTAAGGAACACAAGAGAAGTGTTAAGTCTGCTGACACAGTGTTCTCTTCTGTCTCGTTAGGGACTCTTAATCATCCTATTGATTGGTCTCCCTCTAAAATAATGTTTCCCGCCTCTACTGTACACAGACGCCGTGGTGGTGACGCGGCTCTGATACACCCAACATGAGCCTGAGTCCTGGCTGTGTTGCTGTGGACTCTTCCCTTTCACAGTACATACTCAAATGCTCCAACCTTTCTAACAAACGTGACCTGACATAAACTTATCCCCTTTTTTCTCTTTCTTTCTTTCTCTTATTCTTACGTTCCGTTTCTTCCGTCATGTTATTATTACACCCATCCCAGCCGTGCCCCTTTCTGCTTCTTACCTCTTCGCCTTGCTCTTTCCTTCTAGGAATTACCTCCTCTCCCTGCTCCTCACCTCACTCTTGCCTTACTTCTCCTCCCTCCCACCCTCCCTCGCTCCCCGCACAATGGACCTGATAATGGTCCTTGACGGACCGAAACGTCGTCGTCTCCTTTTCTGGTGTGTGGTTTGGTCAGCACACCTTCAGCCTCGGTATTGTGACTCATCGTCTACAAAGGTGGTCTCGTAAATGTGGTCCGTACTGGCAAGGTCAGGGAGGAGCGCCGGAGGAATATACCACCCTTGCAATAAGAGTTTGCATGGGGGTGAATGTGTATGTTACTCTGAGGGGTGAATGTTGTTACTCTGAGAGGTGAATGTGTATGTTACTCTGAGGGGTGAATGGGTATGTTACTCTGAGGGGTGAATGGGTATGTTACTCTGAGGGGTGAATGTGTATGTTACTCTGAGGGGTGAATGGTGTTACTCTGAGGGGTGAATGTGTATGTTACTCTGAGGGGTGAATGTGTATGTTACTCTGAGGGGTGAATGGGTATGTTACTCTGAGGGGTGAATGTGTATGTTACTCTGAGGGGTGAATGTGTATGTTACTCTGAGGGGTGAATGGGTATGTTACTCTGAGGGGTGAATGGGTATGTTACTCTGAGGGGTGAATGGTGTTACTCTGAGGGGTGAATGTGTATGTTACTCTGAGGGGTGAATGGGTAAGTTACTCTGAGGGGTGAATGGGTATGTTACTCTGAGGGGTGAATGGGTATGTTACTCTGAGGGGTGAATGGTGTTACTCTGAGGGGTGAATGTGTATGTTACTCTGAGGGGTGAATGGTGTTACTCTGAGGGGTGAATGTGTATGTTACTCTGAGGGGTGAATGGTGTTACTCTGAGGGGTGAATGGTGTTACTCTGAGGGGTGAATGTGTATGTTACTCTGAGGGGTGAATGGTGTTACTCTGAGGGGTGAATGTGTATGTTACTCTGAGGGGTGAATGGGTAAGTTACTCTGAGGGGTGAATGTGTATGTTACTCTGAGGGGTGAATGGGGTTACTCTGAGGGGTGAATGGTGTTACTCTGAGGGGTGAATGTGTATGTTACTCTGAGGGGTGAATGGGTAAGTTACTCTGAGGGGTGAATGTGTATGTTACTCTGAGGGGTGAATGGTGTTACTCTGAGGGGTGAATGGTATTACTCTGAGGGGTGAATGTGTATGTTACTCTGAGGGGTGAATGGTGTTACTCTGAGGGGTGAATGGGTAAGTTACTCTGAGGGGTGAATGGTGTTACTCTGAGGGGTGAATGGTGTTACTCTGAGGGGTGAATGGTGTTACTCTGAGGGGTGAATGTGTATGTTACTCTGAGGGGTGAATGGGTAAGTTACTCTGAGGGGTGAATGTGTATGTTACTCTGAGGGGTGAATGGTGTTACTCTGAGGAGTGAATGTGTATGTTACTCTGAGGGGTGAATGGTGTTACTCTGAGGGGTGAATGGTGTTACTCTGAGGGGTGAATGGTGTTACTCTGAGGGGTGAATGGTGTTACTCTGAGGGGTGAATGGTGTTACTCTGAGGGGTGAATGGTGTTACTCTGAGGGGTGAATGTGTATGTTACTCTGAGGAGTGAATGGTGTTACTCTGAGGGGTGAATGGTGTTACTCTGAGGGGTGAATGTGTATGTTACTCTGAGGGGTGAATGGTGTTACTCTGAGGGGTGAATGTGTATGTTACTCTGAGGGGTGAATGGGTAAGTTACTCTGAGGAGTGAATGGTGTTACTCTGAGGGGTGAATGGTGTTACTCTGAGGGGTGAATGGTGTTACTCTGAGGGGTGAATGTGTATGTTTCTCTGAGGGGTGAATGGTGTTACTCTGAGGGGTGAATGGTGTTACTCTGAGGGGTGAATGGTGTTACTCTGAGGGGTGAATGGGTATGTTACTCTGAGGGGTGAATGGTGTTACTCTGAGGGGTGAATGGGTAAGTTACTCTGAGGGGTGAATGGTGTTACTCTGAGGGGTGAATGTGTATGTTACTCTGAGGGGTGAATGGTGTTACTCTGAGGGGTGAATGGTGTTACTCTGAGGGGTGAATGGGTAAGTTACTCTGAGGGGTGAATGGTGTTACTCTGAGGGGTGAATGGTGTTACTCTGAGGGGTGAATGGTGTTACTCTGAGGGGTGAATGGTGTTACTCTGAGGGGTGAATGGGTATGTGTGAAAGGAGGCAAGTTAACAAGAAGTTGGAGAAAAAAATTGTGAATAGTGAGACGAGGAGAGAGTGAGGATGAGAGTAGTGAGACGAGGAGAGAGTGAGGATGAGAGTAGTGAGACGAGGAGAGAGTGAGGATAAGAGTAGTGAGGGTGGGAGAAGTACGACAAGGAGAAGGTAATTGTGCAGAGAAGGTTAATGGTGAGGAGAGAAGCTAGTAAAGTAACAAGCGAGACCACAGATGGTGGGAGTGTGCACGAGACCAGAGATGGTGAGTGTGTGCTCGAGGTCAGAGATGGTGGGAGTGTGCACGAGACCAGAGATGGTGAGTGTGTGCACGAGGCCAGAGATGGTGGGAGTGTGCACGAGGCCAGAGATGGTGGGAGTGTGCACGAGACCAGAGATGGTGAGTGTGTACAAGAGGCCAGAGATGGTGGGAGTGTGCACGAGACCAGAGATGGTGGGAGTGTGCACGAGGCCAGAGATGGGGAGTGTGTGCACGAGGCCAGAGATGGACCCTACATCAATGAAACAGTAAACAGTATATCTTGAAGAGTTGTTAAGAGCAGTGCTGGTGCCTCACTCCTCCCAGCACCTATACCTTGCTCTCTGGGCCACCCTTCCTCTCTACCACTGTCACTATCCATGCTCTCTGGACCACCCTTCCTCTCTACCACTGTCACTATCCTTGCTCTCTGGACCACCCTTCCTCTCTACCACTGTCACTATCCTTGCTCTCTGGGCCACCCTTCCTCTCTACCACTGTCACTATCCATGCTCTCTGGACCACCCTTCCTCTCTACCACTGTCACTATCCATGCTCTCTGGGCCACCCTTCCTCTCTACCACTGTCACTATCCATGCTCTCTGGACCACCCTTCCTCTCTACCACTGTCACTATCCTTGCTCTCTGGGCCACCCTTCCTCTCTACCACTGTCACTATCCATGCTCTCTGGGCCACCCTTCCTCTCTACCACTGTCACTATCCATGCTCTCTGGACCACCCTTCCTCTCTACCACTGTCACTATCCATGCTCTCTGGGCCATCCTTCCTCTCTACCACTGTCACTATCCTTGCTCTCTGGGCCACCCTTCCTCTCTACCACTGTCACTATCCATGCTCTCTGGACCACCCTTCCTCTCTACCACTGTCACTATCCATGCTCTCTGGACCACCCTTCCTCTCTACCACTGTCACTATCCATGCTCTCTGGGCCATCCTTCCTCTCTACCACTGTCACTATCCTTGCTCTCTGGACCACCCTTCCTCTCTACCACTGTCACTATCCATGCTCTCTGGACCACCCTTCCTCTCTACCACTGTCACTATCCATGCTCTCTGGGCCACCCTTCCTCTCTACCACTGTCACTATCCTTGCTCTCTGGGCCACCCTTCCTCTCTACCACTGTCACTATCCATGCTCTCTGGACCACCCTTCCTCTCTACCACTGTCACTATCCATGCTCTCTGGACCACCCTTCCTCTCTACCACTGTCACTATCCATGCTCTCTGGGCCACCCTTCCTCTCTACCACTGTCACTATCCTTGCTCTCTGGGCCACCCTTCCTCTCTACCACTGTCACTATCCATGCTCTCTGGACCACCCTTCCTCTCTACCACTGTCACTATCCTTGCTCTCTGGGCCACCCTTCCTCTCTACCACTGTCACTATCCTTGCTCTCTGGGCCACCCTTCCTCTCTACCACTGTCACTATCCTTGCTCTCTGGACCACCCTTCCTCTCTACCACTGTCACTATCCTTGCTCTCTGGACCACCCTTCCTCTCTACCACTGTCACTATCCTTGCTCTCTGGACCACCCTTCCTCTCTACCACTGTCACTATCCATGCTCTCTGGACCACCCTTCCTCTCTACCACTGTCACTATCCTTGCTCTCTGGGCCACCCTTCCTCTCTACCACTGTCACTATCCTTGCTCTCTGGGCCACCCTTCCTCTCTACCACTGTCACTATCCTTGCTCTCTGGACCACCCTTCCTCTCTATCACTGTCACTATCCTTGCTCTCTGGACCACCCTTCCTCTCTACCACTGTCACTATCCTTGCTCTCTGGACCACCCTTCCTCTCTATCACTGTCACTATCCTTGCTCTCTGGGCCACCCTTCCTCTCTATCACTGTCACTATCCTTGCTCTCTGGGCCACCCTTCCTCTCTATCACTGTCACTATCCTTGCTCTCTGGGCCACCCTTCCTCTCTACCACTGTCACTATCCTTGCTCTCTGGGCCACCCTTCCTCTCTACCATTCTTTGTTACTATGTTTCATCCTCGTTCCCTTGCCCTTCATTACTCTTGTTGATATATCAAGCTGCTCGTCTCGTGTACACAGCTTCCATCCTAAATTTATTATTTACCGTTAAGTCTCTTAATTTTCACGCATTTTTTATTCTCATTATTTAGAGCTCATAACTCCCCTCATGCCAGCGCCTCCTAGCTCTCCTCACGCCAGCGCCTCCTAGCTCTCCTCATGCCAGCGCCTCCTAGCTGCCCTCATGCCAGCGCCTCCTAGCTGCCCTCATGCCAGCGCCTCCTAGCTGCCCTCATGCCCCACATCTCAGCGTGTTCCCTGGTGTGGTGAGCTGTCACATCTGCCCCCAGCCTCCACTGGTATAGTGCTCACCTCTACCTCTCTCACAGTACCGTCACTCTCCTCTCTCACAGTACCGTCACTCTACCTCTCACAGTACCGTCACTCTCCTCTCTCACAGTACCGTCACTCTACCTCTCTCACAGTACCGTCACTCTACCTCTCACAGTACCGTCACTCTCCTCTCTCACAGTAACGTCACTCTACCTCTCACAGTAACGTCACTCTACCTCTCTCACAGTAACGTCATTCTACCTCTCACAGTAATGTCACTCTACCTCTTGTCCTCATCCTACCTTTATTAGTTTTACGGCATATAGTTCTCCCGTGTGTCTCACCCTCTGCTTCTCTCCCGTTGCCACCCCCACCCCAAGGCGTTGCTCCCCCCCTAGGCCGTCCCCCCCCCCCCCCCCTCCCCGAGCGCGCCCCGCCCCTCCGGCAACATCAATGTTTCACTGGGGCAGGGAGGGAGGGATGGAGGGAGCGGCCCCGTGCTCTTCCCTCTAAGGAGGTTTCCCTTCCTCGTCGTGTGTACACCTCCTCCTCCTCCTCTGCCTCTCTCAAAGCTCTAGGCTTAATTCACAGCAATATTTTATAATGGTTTAATTTACTAAAATACTACCCCAGACTGGCTGTGTTCGTCTGTACTTACCTGGCAGTAATGACCTAACAGTGCATCCCTGGGGAGTGAGGTGTAGTTCTCTATGTTCCTGCCTACTAGTCTTCTTGTACCTGTTGTCTTATAATTCACCTTTTCTAATATTCGAATTCCTTCCAACATCTGACCCATAAGTTGTGGATATTGGCGGCTTCCACAACTTCTCTCAGTGCGTTCAAATTTTGGACCATCTGTAGGGGGTACGAGTAATACCTTATATATTTTGTCAGCGTTTCCAGTTTCCATTATGTCTTCTCTTCTTCTCTTACATTAAAGAGGCTATCATTGTCTACCTTCTATATTCCCGTCAGTATCATGTATGTCGCTAACATACCCCCCTCCCCTCTGTTTCTTCTCTCCTTTTGTTTTGTGAGATATATTTACTTTAACCTATCCTCATAGCTTGGCCCTCTTAGCTCTGGCATTAATGTGACTGCAAACCTTTGTACTTCTACGATTTCGGATTTATGTTTCACAAGGCGCAGATTCCGGGTCGGTGTTGCATTTTCGAATATTGGAGTAAGAAGGGATCGCCTAGAAACAGCCCTGGTTTAGGTTTCTGTACAACACTCTAATGTTTGCCAGCATACCACATGCTGTAGAGGGTTCCCTGTTTATGTGAGCCTCTGGAGACAGTGCTGGAATTAACCCAGAAATAATGTTATTTCTTCAATTCCTGTAGTGGCCTTCCCCTTATGGTGAAGGTATCTCTTGGTCTCCTTTATCCCTTTCTCCATCTTTATTACCTTACACTTTTAAAATTGAATTTTAGTACGCGCGCGCGCGTGTGTACTCATCTACTTATTCATGCAGGGCTCACTTCGACTCTTTGGTCTCGCCTCTCAACTGTCAATCAACTGGTGTATAGGTTCCTGAGCCTATTGAAGTCTACATTTGAAACTGTGTATAGATTCTGCCTCCATCACATCATTTTTAATGTTTTCCATTTATTAACTATGGCAGTGAAGAAAATTATTTATATCTTTATGGCTTATTTGGGTTTTCAGTTTCCAGCCGTATCCCCTTGTGCTAGTACCTCTCCTGTTAATAGTTCGCCTTTAGCTACGCGTCTCTCTCTCTCTCTCTCTCCGTTGTACGGGGTTAAAACATTTAACCCCGATTTTATGTTATGAGGTTTTACACATACACACATAAATCATAATGTAATCAGTTTTATATTTGTAGTAAAAATAAATAATAATGATAATAATATAATGTGCAAACAATATACGAGGACAAAAATGTTTATCCTGGAGCGTGTTAGTACGCCAAACGTTGTGTTATGTTCACTCTTCGTGTAGAACACAACCTGTTCCCTGCAGCTGCCACTACGAACACAACACAAAGTGCTAACCTATTAGAAACTCACGAACCCAAGTAACCCACCTAGCCTATCTTACTTTAGCATAGAAAACGTAAATTTTTATGAGGCGCTACTTTTCATATTACTATGCATGTTGTACTTTGGGGAGCATAACGCGCAAACTGAGAGGAATTAGTTGAGAGTTCGGGTTCTAGTCAATAACGCTCTCCAATCACTTCATATATTCTGGAAATGTTATAACTAAACATCACCTACGTACATGTTTTATACTTAATGGAAATAACTTTTTAGTGGGCCTGGAGTTTAAAGGAGCACAGAGGATTGTAAGGTAGAGTGGAGTCCCAGGCACAGAGCGGGGCGTGTGGCGCGTCTGAATTGCCTCTTAATCCTTGGTGACGGTATCTGGCTACAAATGGTGCGTAGCTTGTCCACCCTTCAAGAATATTTATCATACTTAAGTCTTGCGAGACGTTTGGCTAATTCTGCCGCCCTGAGAAGCGGTGTGTGTGGAGACGAGTAGTGTGGAAGTGAAGGGTGGCGTGTAGCTGCCAGGGTGAGGGGAGCCCTAGCATGCCTGGGCGAGGGGAATCACTATATTGGGTAGGGAAGAGCAGTTCACTATGACGGGGCTGGAGGGTTGAGATAAAGAGGGAGGGGGAACTGATGGATTGTCGGGGCTGCCTCATGTACGATGCGTACCTTTCATCAATCACCTTATACTAAGTACTAGTATAGTATCCAGTAGTGTATAAGAAGCAAACATAAGCATGTATACTGTCAGTTATATTACGCATGCTGAAATTATATATATCTTTAAGTGAAAGCCTATAAAATAGTGAATAATTTAGACTAAGCAAGAGAGAAGAGCGAGGGGAGAGAGACTAAGCCGTGGCCGGTTGCTTCAGGTAGGAAGGGGAGCGAACAAGGGGACAGGTATATAATAGACTTAGGTTTGCCTCGA